GATCGCAGCCAGCGCGCGCTTGCGCCAATGCAGGCCCTAAACCCTAAACCCTAAACCCTAAACCCTAAACCCTAAACCCTAAACCCTAAACCCTAAACCCTAAACCCTAAACCCTAAACCCTAAACCCTAAACCCTAAACCCTAAACCCTAAACCCTAAACCCTAAACCCTAAACCCTAAACCCTAAGCCCTAAGCCCTAAGCCCTAACCCTAAACCCTAAACCCTAAACCTCGCTCGCCTCGCGCGCAGACTGTTGGACGCAGGGGCCGTCGGCGGCGGAACTCTGAAAGTTTTGTGGGTGTGCGGGCGGGAGTCCCGCCCCCGACGGCCCCTACGTCCAACAGTCCGCGCGCTCGGCTCGCTCGCACCAGGACCCCCTGCCGAATGGGGGGAGGGGGGGGGGGTCCGAACCCCCCCTACCCCCCTTTCAAAAGGGGGGGGGGGGAGGGTTTCGTAACCGACCCCCCCCCCCCCTTAAATGGGGGGGTTGTTTTCATCGAGCCCCCCCCCCACCCTTAGGGGAGACACGAGGGGGGGTTCCCTGGAGCACACCCCCCCTTTTGTGTCTTCAAGGCGATCCACTGGCGCTCTTTCTAAGTCGCCATATCGACGGCATCATCTGTGGAGGCGGCGGCATTGAACTGGAGCGTTCTGATTCCGCCTGCAGGGCCAGGAACTGCAACAAGGCCAGAAGCCATCCGAAAGTCGCTGCTGCCAGATGCAAGGTCATCCATCCACTCGTCGGTGTACCTGCGCCTGAACTCCTCCAGGTCACAATCGTCAGCCTTGTCCGACTCGCGTCTGGCAGCTAACGCGCCCGACCTGATCCGCTTGACCATGTTGAGGGTCTCATGACCGGAGTAGCCATGAATGAAGGTGGGCATCCGACATCACCTTGTCGACGGCAGCATTGGTGTTGCTCTCTTGGGTGGCAGCCGTCCTCACCTTCAAGCTTGTCTTGAACTTCGCCCGCTCCACCTCCGCGCGGGGCGGCCCGAACGAGTTCCCCTTGCGGCCAGCCCGCCTCGCTTGCGTCGCCAGCTGCCCGAGACGCACGCACTCCTCCAACCACTCTGAACCGACCGTGTTCTTCAATGCTCTGTGCAACCTGCCAGCCTCTGCCAAATCCCGAGACCCGCGGTGTCGAACGAATGCCCTCCACGCTCCACCACCGCTTCCTCGCGGGCGCGGGGGAGGGTCGCCAACGCCGTCACGGCTGGCGCCATTCCCGCCAGCTGAGGGCACTGGACGTGCTGGGCGACCATGCGCCTGATATGGCTGCTCGATACTTCCAGGCGGTCAGTGTTGGTGTAGATCACCATGGCGCGAGCTAAGAGCTTCATCCTGGCTTCCTCGGTTGTAAGATCGTTACTCTGCAGAAATTTCGCCGACCACGAATCAAGCAAACATCGGGCAGTGTTCTGGCTATCTGAAGCAAGCTCGGGCTGCGAGAGAACTAAGAACAACCTGAAGGGTGCTAGCTCGTGGGGCGTCGCGATCAAATTCTGAACAAGTGCACCTGCAGCTGAAATCATAGTGAATACATCTGCCTTCAGCCTGTTGGTCATCTCATTCTCACGCAACAAACACCACAACCTGCTGTCGAAGAAAAGCGTGCGCATACGCATGAATGCCTTGAGCTCGAGCTGACCACGGGCGTGGATGAGAATGCTGCAATCCCTGGGGGGGCTGCCATCGCCGCCACTTGCGTATCGCCTGGCAGCGATGGCATTCTGTTTGCGTTCCCACCTCTTCGATCCAATCCACAACTCTTCTGAATGCATATTCTGAATGACACCTACAATCATCTTCAGGGTACCCACTTCAGCGCAAGGAGATGTGCCAGAGCTGCCACGCAACCACTCCAGTGCAATCTTCCTTTTCCTAGCGACTTCTCGAATCCACATCGCGATGGGCGCCTGTCCTCGGGGATCAGCGTTGTCTTCATCTCGCCGAACGCGTGCCTCATCGTCATCGTCGCCGGCGACGGCGAGCAACCCAAGGCGGCGCGGGCCTGGCCGAAACTCCGCGTCGAGAGCTACCACGTCGCCGTCCACGCGCCCCACCCGCACACGACGACAAAGAAGACGGCATGCATTAACAAGAAGATTCCCAAGGGGGAGCGGGATGGCAAACGCACGGCAAGCCTCATCGGCACCCATCCATTTCTTCCGCTGGTAGAGCGTGAAACTCTCATGTGCAATTGCGTGTGTGATGCCCTCTGCGGCGGCCCCCGCAAGCGCGTTCTCATCGTACGGGATGCCAGGTAACACAAAGACTTGACTATCGCGACTAGCCCAATCTCCCGTGGCCAACATATCCAGAAGCGCCCGCGCAATCACATGATTCTCGCTCTTCGGGGACATGAACCACTTAAGAATCAAAGCCTTTCGAAGCTGAGCCAATGGGGGAGGTGGCGTCGATATGATCTGAACTCGTGCCCTGAATCTCTTTCAGCGAGCCCCTGAACACGTCCAAATGCCCCTGGAAGTTCAACGACAACGTTAGGTTTACCATACCAGTCATGCACATCGAGAACCTCCAGGTGGCGAGGACCCTGACCGCCTGAAGAATGTGCTGCTCACATGGGAATAGAAGTGACCGAAATAGATCGCGTCGTCTACGCATTCTCCGAGAAATACGTCGCTAAACCTGCAACTTCGAAGGGTGTCTGTCAACACTGGCAACCCTGGAAAACATATCGACCCTGACCTCTGGAAGTGACATCGGTGACGTTTCCTTCAAGGCCTGCATGATGGACCCAGGAGTGTTCCGAGCGAGCGCCTGGACGTGACACGACGTGGTTCCCTGAATGATGGTGTACACTTTCTGGCCGTCAGGCTTGACGAATGAAACCAACATGGCAAACTGCTGCTGTGTCTGGAACAACTTAGTGGGCAGAGCACAGAGGTCTCGCGGTATCAAAGACAAAGCAGACGTTGGAAGCGCAACAGCAGGATCCACAACTCTGCGAAACGCTTCACCGCCTGCACGTATCTTCAACGGGGTCTCATCGTAGCCAATCGAGTCGACGAACGCCAATGCCTGGACACCACGGGTTGCAACTGAGACCTGCCCAAGGATGCGGCGCCTACCGCGATCACCAATCCAAGCTGCAGCCGCCAACCGTTTTGCAATGTCCTGGGATGTTTTTTCTATCTACGCCCGAGCAGTACGATCTCGCCACTTGCGATGCGAAAGCTCCAATCCTGACCGCTGTTGAACAACATTCTGGCGATGGCGGATGGTGCGCTGCTGCTGCTGCTGCTGCTGTCGGAAGGCTGTAGAACGCCTCGCTCCCTGCACAACTTCATGCTCTCCATGAACATATCTATCATCGGTGACGGGGTGATGAACTGACCTGGCATCATCGTCGAAATGCGAGTCTCCTGCGACACCTGCAGCTTTGCCAGAAACCTGGCCTCCTCCTCTCGTTCGTCTCTGCGACGTTTCCGAACCTGCACAGCTGCAGCTCTGGCGATCTCCAAGTCGCCGCGCCTTCTAGGTGGGGCCGCCCCTGCTCCTTCTGCCATGGGCGACACGCAGGCGCTGAGGCGGCGCCCGCCTTCAGCGAGCCTCGCCTCGTGGCCCTGCGGGCGCCAGGGCGGCCATCTGACCTCGGCAGTCGAGGTCCGCGGGAAGGCCCGCGGCCCGCCCTCGGCGGGCCTGGTGGCATCGCCACCCTCAGCCAAAATGGCTCTGCGCGGCATCGAGAAACGAGAAAGCGCACCATTGCGCTGAGGCATTGCCCACTCTCTTGAGACATCAACGCAACACTGGGAAATGAACCGATCGCTTGAGACATCCTCGCCACTACACGGGGCCATCGCTTGAGACATCCTTGCAATCATGACTCCTGGCGGTCGCTCGAGACATATCTAAAGTGGTCGCATGGGGAGGCATTTTAGCGATGGTAATGATCCTGGTGTTGTTCATGTTGCTATCCCTGCTGCCTTACTACCCTACCCTTTGCTACTTACTAACGCCCACCACTGCCGTTCATGTACTAGCCTTCTCTTTGCTTTCTACTACCATCACAGTATCGCGGTGCCTCCCTCCCCGTTGATGTCGTAGTACGTCTTTCATTGTTGCTACAATCCTCGTCTTCCTTGCCCGATGGCCACCACGACGAGCGACGACGACGACGAATGACGACGGCCAAAGCATTGGAAAGCGAAAATTCGCAAGAATCGACAAAGACGACGGCAAGGACGACGAGAAACTGCAACGACAACGACACGACAACGACTAACGACACTCGCAACAAGGACAACGACTGACGACGACGCGACAAGGATTGACGACGACGACGCGACAACGACTGACGCCTCTTACAACGACACGGCAACGACTGACTTGGGTCGGCCCCACCTGTTCGAAAGGAGCATGGGCCCTTTCTTGGGCCCTCGCCACCCTGTGCGCTATAACGCGCGCTTAGGTTGTGCCACCATTGCACGCCCATTACCCGAAATGCAACCGATACCCATACCTTTTTTGAAGGGGGGAGCTTTTTTTGAGTATTCTCAAGCTGAACACAGAAATCCCTCGGAAAGTATTTTCTTAGTATTTTCCTGGTTATCTAAGATCTACAGAACCAGGCCGAGCAGCCCATTATAACCCTAGGACGCAGAGTGTTCTTAGAACGTGAACCCGATGGATGAAAACAAGACTGTCTCAGACAGAGATGTTCAACAGTCGGACTCGATTGGACAGGACACGCGAGAGGACACAAGACCCTTCCGGGGGCCACAGCGCCACAGGAATGTAGGAATCATGGGTCGCGAGACACAGGACACGAGGGTACCCTTGATGTGGCAGGGTCGGGTCGACCTACTACTCTGGGCCGACTGTAAGAACGCTTCGTGCAAACCACACAAGAGGCTCTCAGAGCATGGCATGTCCCGGCGGGCCGCCACACAGGCCAGGACGCCCCGCCACTGCTCGGACCGTGCGGGATGCGCCGGCGGCGACGGCGGCCGCGGCACGGCGGCCGCCCGCGCCGTCCTGAAGCGCGCCAGCGCAGAGGAGCTCCCCTCGGCGCCCTCCTGGCGGGCGCGCGGGGCCGCGGGCCTCGGCGGCCCTCGCGGGACGCCCCGCCGGCGGGCGCGCCCCCCGACGGCCGACGCGGGCCACTCGCGGGAGGCCGCCGCCCGCATCCCGAGGGTGGCCGAGGCTCCGCCGGTCAGGCAAGACGAAGCCAGGGCGAGGATAAACTCGGGCGGGGCGAAATCAGGGCGAGGATCCCCCTCCCGCTCCCTCATCCCTCCTCCTCCTCCTCCTTTCTCCTCCTCCTCCTCCTCCTCCTCCTTTCTCCTCCTCGTCCTCCTCCTCCTCCTCCTCCTCCTCCTCCTCCCCTCCTCCTCCTCCGCCTCCAGTCCTCGCTACCTTCTCCTCCTCCTGTCCTCCTCCGGTCTCCGCCGCCTCCTCCTCCTCCTCCTTTCTCCTACCTCCTCCTCCTCCTCCTCCTCCTCCTCCACCTCCTCCCTCCTCTCCATTCCTCCCTCATCCTCCCTCCTCCGCCACCTCCTCCTCCTCCTCCTTCTCCATTCCCTCCTCCCCCTCCCTCCCCTCCCTCCCTTCTCCTCCCTCCCTACCTCCCGCCCTCCCCTCCCTCCCTCCCTCCCTCCCTCCCGCCCTCCCGCCCTCCCCTCCTATCCTCCACCCCCCTCCCGCCCTCCCTTCCTCCCCTCCCTCCCTCCCTCACCTGCCTCCTCCCTCCTCCCCCCTCTCCTCCCTCCCTCCCTCCATGCCCCCCTCCTCCCCTCCCTCCCCGTACACCGGGTGCGGGGTTGGGTCGGGTGGGTCGGGTCGGTGTCGGGGGCGAGGGCCCCGCTCTCCTGTCGTCGTTGTTGCGCCCATTGGGGCGGTCAGATCGTGCCCCCCCCCTTCCGAGGCGAGCGGACGCAGCTGCCTGCCACCCCGGGCGTCGCCTTCGTCGGTCGTCGCCGGTCCCTGTCGCCGCTCCGCCGCTGCTGCCGCAACCTTCGTCGCTGCTCGTGCTGTCGTCGCCGCCGCCGCGCCGCCGGCGTCGTCGTCGCGTCGCCGTCCTGGCCGTCGTCGCCGCCGTCGGTCCTCGTCGTCGTTGTCTTTGTCTTTGTCGTCGTGTTCGTCCTCGCCCTCGTCGTTGTCGTCGTCGTCGTCCTCGTTGTACTCGTCGCCGCTGATCGGCGTTGCCTTCGCCGCTCCGGAAGCGCGGATTCGGCTGGCCGACCTTTCCGTGAAGGCCGTCGGCGGGGGCGTTGGGTGGTGACCGCCGCGTGGCCGGGGCTCTAAGGCCGAGTCGAGGGGGCCGTTGGGGTTCCCCTGCCCGGGCCTGCTCTCTGGGCTGCTCCTGTGCTGTCGTCCCCTCGTCCTGGCGGTGTGGCCGATGTGTCGCGTGGAGGGGGATAAGGCTGGCCTTCGCCGTCGCTGGTTCGCGGAGGTCCCCTCGGGCTTCGAGGTCTTTTGGCGGCCTCCGAGGGCTGTCTGCGTCCGCCGCGGGGGGCCCCGGTGGAGTCCTGGCCCCTCGAGGCTTCCGGTTGTCTCTGGAGGGCGTCGGGGGCCTTCGAATCGAGGCCCTCGGGTGTCCCGGAGGTCTTGGGCGGCGTCGTCGGCCTCCGGGAGTGTTTCGGGAGCTCCTGAGGTCTCCGTCGGGGCTCCCGTGGGAGGTGCTTTTCTGGATGGAATCCTTTCCCAGCTAGACTGCCTGCGAGCTCCCGCGTCGGTCGGAAGTCCTCTCGCCATCGTCCTGCTGTCCCCTTCTTCTCGTTCCTTGGAGGGAACAGTTCGCACCCGCCCTCCCTCCCTCCCGCCTGGGTTCCCAGGAGGGTGGGTCGGGTCGGGCAGGGTCCTCTCTCCCTCCTCTCTCCTCCTCTCCCTAGGGGTGGCTTCCTCCCCCCTTCCTGTCGCCGTCCCGCACCTGCGTCGTGCGTCGACATGGCAGCGTTGGAGGGATCGGACGAGCCCCGGGGAGGATCCCCCCTGCCCCGCCCCCTCCGCCCCGCGGGGAGTCCCTGAGTTGCCTCTCCCGCTTCGCGCCTGGCCGGGGGTGGAGAATCGGAGTCAGTCGGGGCGGTTTTCCGGCTGGGGTTTTGGTTCTGGCATGTTTCTTTTGGGGCCTGCCTGTGGGCCCTTCGGCTGCGGGCCCCGAGGTTCCTTGTTTCCCTGGGTTCCGTCTCCGCCGTCGGAGCTCCGACAGCTTCCCTCTCGTCCCCTCCAGCGCTGGTGGCTTGGCTTCCAGGGCCGTCGCAGCACGGACGCTTCCGAGCCCCCCCCAGGCCATGGCGCCATGCTGAAAGGGAGCTGCGTCCGACGTCCGAAGCTCCCGAATGCCGGCTCAATGGGAGCACCACCAAGCAACCAACCAACCTCCTCCCTCCTCCCTCCTCCTCCTCCCTCCTCCCTCTTCCTTCCTCCCTCCTCCTCTCTCCTCCCTCCTCTCTCTTGGTGGGTCTCCCGCCCTGCGGCCTCCACCAGGCACCCGCTGGCACTCGCTTTGAGCCCGCGCGGCTGGCCAAGCCAGGCAGACCGTCTGGCAATCGCGAGCTTGGTGTCGAGCGCAAGGACAATCCCTCTGGGTAGTCTCGCTAGCCCCAATTGTATGGCGACAGCTGCCCGTGCATGGTATCATGACGCCTTCCTCCTCCTCGTCCGTCGTCCTATAGAGGTAAGAGGAATGAAAACAATGGAATGGGGTCCTCTTCTTCCTCGCTGGTCCCATCCCGGTGCGCGGTGAGAAGGGTGGGTGGAGGTAGAAGTGGTCCTGTAAGCGGGTGGAGTAGAGGCAGAGTGGAAGCGGTTCTGTAGGCGAGGCCCCCCCCCGGGCGAGTACTCTGGCGAGGTGGCTCTGTACGTTTGGAGCCCGATACGCTCCTTCTTCAAGGATGTGGCTCTGTACCTACGAGGCCCCTTTGGAGGTTTCTCCCGTGGATGCGGCTCTGTACTGTTCAGAGCCCCCACCAACGAGGTAGATGAACGAGACGCGAGGACTGGAGGGATGAGGAATGCGGAACATCGAGGAAAGAGGAGGAGAGGAGGAACGGGGGCACGAGAGGCGAAGAGGAAAAACTTCACCCCTCCTCCCTGCAGGGAGGAATGAGTCCCTCCTCCTCCCCTCCCCCCCCCTTTCCTTGCTGGATTCCCGCCGCAGACGGAGAGGAGCGAGCGAGCGAGGGGGGGTGGGCGGCTGGCGGATCCTTGCTGCCCCGGGCCCTGGGCACCGAGCTGAACTTCGACTGAGTGCGCGCGCGGCGGCGTGGGGCGACGCGCTTGGGGGCGCGACCCCAGTAGAGCCGACGTATTAAAACAAGACGGCGTCGGCCAGAAGCGCTCTGAAAAAGTTCCGCGCAAACCATGAGAGGCTCTGAGAACATTGTTTGGTGGGCCTATGGATGCGAGCCGGGGCGCTTCGCCGCTGCTCGACCCTCGCCTTCCAGAACATTTTCGTCGCTCGGGAGGGACAGCCACAACCGCCGGGCCGAAGGCCTCGCCCGCGTGGCGCCCCGCTCCCCAGGGCTCGCCGCGACGCCCCCAGCGGTGATGCCCTGCGCGCAGCGCCCGCCTTCGAGCGCCGCGCGCAGGTCATCACCGCTGGCGGATCGGGGTCGCCCTGGGGTTGTTCGGAGGCAACTCCTGGGAGGCCTTCGTTGGAACGAGTGAAAGCGATAAAGCCCGATCGAAGGACCAATTCACCGGATTAGGCCGAATTAAGCCCGGCACTAAGCCGAATCAAGCAAGATCCGCCGGCCCCCTTGTGGGGCCACCAGGCTGTAGGCGCGGGTTCGCAGTTTCCTGTACCAGTTGTAGCTTGTAGTTTCCAGTGTTACTAGTTGACTTCTTGCTGGTTACTGTAACTAGTTGATTGACCGCGCGAGGGGGGGGGAGGCCCAAACAGGATTTTTAGCCTCAACTGGCACGTTGTCTGAATTGCTGGGGGGGCTCGAAATCAACACCCCTCACGCAGATCCGCGGGGTCAGGGTCCAAAAACACATGGGATTTGCCACATTTCTGAAATTCGGTGCCACCCCTCACGCAGATCCGCGGGGTCAGGGTCCAAAAACACAGGGGATTTGCCACATTTCTGAAATTCGGTGCCACCCCTCACGCAGATCCGCGGGGTCAGGGTCCAAAAACACATGGGATTTGCCACATTTCTGAAATTCGGTGCCACCCCTCACGCAGATCCGCGGGGTCAGGGTCCAAAAACACAGGGATTTGCCACATTTCTGAAATTCGGTGCCACCCCTCACGCAGATCCGCGGGGTCAGGGTCCAAAAACACTAGGGATTTGCCACATTTCTGAAATTCGGCGCCACCCCTCACGCAGATCCGCGGGGTCAGGGTCCAAAAACACAAGGGATTTGCCACATTTCTGAAATTCGGTGCCACCCCATCCACGCCCCCCCCCCAAATAAAAAGGACCGCGGGGTCAGGGTCCAAAAACACATGGGATTTGCCACATTTCTGAAATTCGGTGCCACCCCTCACGCAGATCCGCGGGGTCAGGGTCCAAAAACACATGGGATTTGCCACATTTCTGAAATTCGGTGCCACACCTCACGCAGATCCGCGGGGTCAGGGTCCAAAAACACATGGGATTTGCCACATTTCTGAAATTCGGTGCCACCCCTCACGCAGATCCGCGGGGTCAGGATCCAAAAACACATGGGATTTGCCACATTTCTGAAATTCGGTGCCACCCCTCACGCAGATCCGCGGGGTCAGGGTCCAAAAACACTAGGGATTTGCCACATTTCTGAAATTCGGCGCCACCCCTCACGCAGATCCGCGGGGTCAGGGTCCAAAAACACAAGGGATTTGCCACATTTCTGAAATTCGGTGCCACCCCTCACGCAGATCCGCGGGGTCAGGGTCCAAAAACACAAGGGATTTGCCACATTCCTGAAATTCGGTGCCACCCCTCACGCAGATCCGCGGGGTCAGGGTCCAAAACACATGGGATTTGCCACAATATGGGGTGGGGTGTATATATATTTGGGGGGGGGGGGGGGGTGGGGGTGGGGTGTGGGGAGGGGGGGGGTATATAGGGGTTGGGGGTATATATAGACAGTTCTGAAATGTCGGGGAAACCTCGCTCCAGATCCGGGTCAGGCAGGGTCCAAAAACACCCCCAAAATAAAGGGGGGAGTGTCTCATTGCCTTTTAGGCCCCACCCCTCCTCACCAGATTCCCCCTGGACTTGTGCCCAAAAACACAAGGGATTTGCCACATTTCTGAAATTCGGTGCCACCCCTCACGCAGATCCGCGGGGTCAGGGTCCTAAAACACATGGGATTTGCCACATTTCTGAAATTCGGCGCCACCCCTCACGCAGATCCGCGGGGTCAGGGTCCAAAAACACATGGGAGTTGCCACATTTCTGAAATTCGGTGCCACCCCTCACGCAGATCCGCGGGGTCAGGGTCCAAAAACACAAAGGATTTGCCACAGTTCTGAAATTCGGTGCCACCCCTCACGCAGATCCGCGGTGTCAGGGTCCAAAAACATAGGGGATTTGCTACATTTCTGAAATTCGATGCCCCCCCTTCACGCAGACCCGCGGGGTCAGGGTCCAAAAACACATGGATTTGCACATTTCTGAAATTCGGCGGTCGGCGCCACCCCTCACGCAGATCCGCGGGTCAGGGTTCCCAAAAACACATAGGATTTGCGACAATTCTTGAAAGCGGTGCCACCCCTCTCACGCAGATCCGCTCAGGGTCCTAAAACTCCTGGATTTGCAACATTACTGAAATTCGGCGCCACCCACACGGGATTCCAAAATCCGCGGGGTCAGGGTCCAAAAACACATGGGATTTGCCACATTCCTGAAAGTCGGTGCCACCCCTCACGCAGATCCGCGGGGTCAGGGTCCAAAAACACATGGGATTTGCCACATTTCTGAAATTCGGTGCCACCCCTCACGCAGATCCGCGGGGTCAGGGTCCAAAAACACATGGGATTTGCCACATTTCTGAAATTCGAACCCATCACGCACATCCATCGCAAGGCGTGGTAACCCAAACTGCGAGAACTCCCTCGGCCCTTTAATCGCAAGGTGTGGTAACCAAGCCCTTAAACCATGCACGTCTTACCAATCGCCAGGTGTGGTAACCCCTCTTGTGATCAGTTGGTTTTGCTGATTGCGACTCGGCTTCGCATGAAGTTTCGATACTGCTTCACGACAGCGCCAAGGCCTCATGACTTAGCTCTTCCATGGCCCATTCTCCGAGAGAGGGGGCCGGCGGCAGGGGGCGAAGCCCTTACGGATTAAGAGGGACTAAACCAGATGAACCCAAATTAAGGCAGTTATCGACCGCGAAAGTACGGGCGCCGATACAGAGTCTTACCTCCCAGGAGTTGCTTCCGAGGGGTGTGTGCCGGTGGCGGCTTCAGCCCAGCGGCTGTGGTCGTCTCTTCTTCGCGCGTGAGTAGCTCTCCATCTGCCTCGGGCGCACGCTGGCATGAGGTACGGATCCGTGGACCTGGCGCGCAGACGCCAGATCCACGGACCGGGGAGGTTCTCCCCCGAGACAGAGAGCGAACGATGCTGCCTGGTTTGGAGACGGAGCGCGCTGAATCTGCACGGAAGCAGGGCCCGCCACCAATCCAAGCGCATGAATCAATGTTCTCGCCTCCCCGATCCGTGGTGGCTCTCCTCATCAAGCAGGCATTATCTCGCCCCGGCTGGGGGTCGAGGGGGCCGCGGCCCGACGCGTGTCTGCCCGTGCGCCGCGTGCCGAGAAAGGGGGGACGTGATGGGGCATGAGGATACGCGGGGGGGCCGAGCGCGAGAAGGACGACGACGTCCCCGCGGAGCCCCTGGACCCAATTTGAAATCCGCCGACCCCTTGTGGGTCTCTAGGCGTGTGAGGGTGTTCCCCCCCATAATCCCCCCCCCCAGGGACCCCAAACCAAGAATTTGACCCCCTCCCCCCGGGCCCAGACGAACGCCTCATGGGGACCTGGCAGGCCCCAAAACGGACTTAGAGGGCTTCGAGAGGCCTCCTAGAACGTCACAGAGGGCCACGAGTCGCCGAAAGAGCGCTCCAAGACGCCCAGGATGTCCGCCAGACGGCCTCAGAAGCCCCCAAGACGCCCCAAGAGGCCCCCAAGATGCGTCCCAAGAGGGCCCCAAGAAACAAACATCGCCCCATTCCTGTGGGAAACCGTATAGTTTTTGCATATTCGCCTCTTGGGCTCTAACAACGTCCCAGACGGCCCAAGAAGCCTTCAAAATCGCCCCAAGACGCTCCATGGCGGCCCAGTAAGCTTCCATGATAGCCCAAGAGGGCCCCAGGACGGCCCCCAGAGGGTGACGTTTCGAGCCTTCGGCTCCAAAACGCCCCTAGGTTGCCCCAAAAGCCACCCAGGGGGCCCCAAGTCAGCCCCAAAAGGCGCACAGGAGGCCCCAAGAGGCCTCCCACGAGACCCCATCAGCCACCCGAGCCCAGGCACGGTGCCGGGATGCGCAGAAGGCCATTCGCTAATCACTTCTCTAGTGTGTTCACTGATGCCTGCCGTGTGTGAACTGTTGTTTCTGATGTTTGTCCCATGTCTGCACGGCGAACACTCCGAATGGCACCCGCGGACAATACGCTGACCTAAGACACCTCCCTACGGACTCTGACACTGCCCCCCTTCCTCCCTCGAGAGCGCTTCGAAGAGACGTCACGAAACATCTCTGAGAGTCTGGCACAAAATTATACCAGGATGGACCCACGGCCATGACACAGCTCACGGTTCAGAACCCGCACAAGGTCTCCAGATCCAGGGCCAAGAAATGCTTGCCGAAGGTGCGGGACACGTCCGGAACGGTAACCACATGATTCTTCCAACACGTCCGGGATTGCCCTCCGACGGCCCAAGATACCCCGATGATGCTCCAACTAATCAGCCTTCGAAAAGCCTCCCCAGGGGGCCCCAAGAAGAAAAACAACGTTAGATTTCCCTTCGGAAACGTATATTTCTAACCAATTCGCCTCTTCGGCGTTCTCAGCGTCCAAGACGGCCTCAGAGGGCCCCAAGAGAGCTCCAATACGGCCCACATGGCCACCAACACAGCCCGAGAGCGCCCGAACAGGCATAAAACGACACCAGAACGACTCCAAGCGGAGGCCCAAACGGGAAACCAGAACAGACAGTTCCAGCCCTCGCCTCTCAGACACCCTCAGTAAGCCTCAGAAAGCTGCCTCAAAGGCCCACACGGCCGCCAGAAGATGGCCAAAGAGGGTC